CGATGCGATTATAGGGTAACCTATCGACGATTTGAAAATCCGCCATTCACGTGCGTTGAACTATGCATATATACGTATATGCAATTTCACTGCAATCGATTGAACGTGTTGTGTAATAGATAGAGGTGTGCACGTATTTAAGTACCTTAAGTATATTGTGCATGTGTACAACACAATTGAGTACACAATTTATTTAAATATATCCCTGTAAATAATAAAGCAAATTAACTTGATCAAATTAACCAATTACATATACATATAATCTACATTTAATCCAATATTTTTGTCAATTTTATGCACAGTAAGTACTGGAGTTTCGGCTACCTTGTGTTTAGAAAATATATGTACGTTCGATTCGAATGATTTGTTTATGTATTTAAATTTTTTCCCTCAATATTATACGCCGTTTTCTGTCGCTAGATAGAAGAAAACTCAACAAACACACATGCAAACAAATTGAGATTCTACCGTAATTTTAAACATTAGTTGCATTAATATTTTTCTTCTAAAATTTAAGTCTCAACGACCATTATTATCGTAAACTATGTAAATTACATTCGCATGTAATCAAATCGAGCATCGATACTTTTTATCGCGGTATCAATTCGATAATAACGTGTGAGTAATCACGCAGCGTGTCGCGATTAATCAGCCGATAGACTGAACGGTTAGATAGTGAAGAATTTGTAATGTGTGTAACTCTCTGATACGAGTGTGTTGTGTCGCAGTTTGATTCGTCGTGGATCGCGCGGCACAGATAGAATTTACACTTTGAAAATGGATATGAGCCGGGGTTCCGTCGGTAACCCTCAAAGATAAAATAGGCGCCGATTCGAGCGATAAAATAGCTTCTTTTTTGTTGACGAACAATATTTTCTCGTACGTATATACCTACCTACTGTCATTCGCGTGGCGCGCTCACATGTATCAGTGCGAAATATGCTATCGTTCTAAGTTTTTCTTATCAAGTCAGTGTCTTATTGTTAGTCAAATCGTGTACCTTTCCGCATTTCTCATGAAGTGTTTCAATTTGCTCTGTATATTTATACTGTCGGTACATTCATTTTTTTTTTTTTATATATATATATA